TATCCTTTAAATGCAGCCTTAATCGTCCACTAGTCCCAGTACGGAGGGAGTGGGATTCAGTGCTTTACTAATAAAAAGTACAACTACTAAGCAAGCGAGCACCAAACGAGCGTGTACATAGAATGACATGACAAGCATATAAAAGAGGTCATTGATGTTATGCTGACAATTTGAGATGACAATCAATGCAATGGGGTTAGTGAAATGTGGGTGGAGCACTGTGCTTGTGTTAAAGTGTTGTGTCGTATTGCGCCACTGACTAGCAGCTAAGGGTCCTCATTGACCAGTAGTGCAAACGCTGAAGCTACAATTGCTGTTGTTGATGGACGACAAGCAAAGAAAGTTTGAGATATTAAAAATGTATGAACATACATTTGTATGGTTTATTGTTTTATTTGCCAGGATATGAAGCAAAGGATTGTTTGAAGTACGTAGGCAGCGCTCGTTTAGTTGGTCAATAATTGCTTAGAAATGTTTAAACTTATTTACAGCGTATAGGTTTGTATGCAATTTACGCATTTTTCCGCTCTGGGCGTCACTGTGGTACCAGCTCCTGTATCTTTTACGCACTTAAAGTGTTTGTTTATTATATATTACGTCCTATTTTATTCAAATTGTATATTATAAGATTTATTTCGGCTTACATTGTACTATATGTTTTATCACATCTTCTGTTGGATACATAAAATAGCACTAGTTTTAAAATTGGCTTAAATTTTTAGGGTTAATAAGATGCTTTCTAAAGGAGAGTATGATTATTGTGGCATTACCTTTTTTGTCGGACTAGGATTCTTCATTTAATGCCATTACGAGTCTCTAAAGCATTCAAAGCCGATCCTAATATGAAATTTTATCAGATTGCAGAGTCACAAAAAGACAAACGCATTATTTAAAACTATATCGTGATACAATATACCTAAGATAACTAAATATTTTTACATTTTATAATAATATTTTTGAACGAAATTAAATTCTTAATTTTCTTCTTTAACAATTCTTATGAACTTTAAACTAAATGGTGAATGTTGTAGGCTAAAACAACAGTGAGTTTCGGTCTGCAAAGACAACGTTAAATCACCTGGGAATATACCCCAAATGAGAGATCGTCTGCTAACAGTGACAGTAATGTCAGGAGTAGCACAAAAATTGTTAGAAGGAAATTGCGTTTACTTACTATTATGAACTTGAGGAGTGAGGTGTTTTGCTTGTAACGGCGCTAAAACATGAAAAGCGTATTTACTACTTAATTTTTAGAAAAGGGAGAAAACTTTAGGAAGGGTAATGCGTAACAAATGGAAGATACAGTGTCAAAATGAAAGTGATAGTAAAAGTGAGTGCGAAGGGCTCATCAATAGCTAAAGAGTTGAACGGCAATGAAGGTACTTAATAAAAGTGGGTGTTTTGTGGTTATAATGAGAATTAAGATTTATCGTCTGCTAAGCGAATAAAAACTTGTTATGCTCTATATACATATCTATATTCTTTTTTTATTACTAGAGAATTAATTCACCTCTGAAAATCGCAAAGTTCAATTATGCTAGTTGTTAGCTCATATAGCAACTTTCGTGCCCCTTCTTGTTTAGCCAAAGGCTTAGTAAAGGTCCACGTAAAACATAAACAAGTATGTGTAAATATGGACAGTAAAAAATAGTTTTAAAGTTTGCTTGCCAATTATACGGTACCTATACCCATGTACTGCATGATGTCTCTAGGCTAACGCCAAACATTTGAGAAAATAGAAACGAGTAGAAAAATGTGGCTTTCCTCCATGATAGCTAAAACATAATTTGGACCAACAACACACATGAAAAACATAAACTCAAACAGGAAAACAAACAAAGCTTACTTCAGGCCAAATAACTTACAAACGCATAAGTAGACCATTGAAGTTGAAAGGTACAAGTAAGACAACTTGTTGTTAGTAGACTTAGAAAAGAAAACAGCATGCCTCGGAACTTTTGGAAACTCAGTAGATACACAAATCGGGGGACGCAGCGAAAAATTGGGTGAGCATTTAAGGCAACCGACGTTATGTTGGAATTAAACGGCCACCAACCCCACATCAAGAGAGTAGACAGGCACAGCGCACAGGCGACGCACACCTTTGGGAGTTGGTGCTACATTCAACAACCTGTAGAGCACTCACCTGCATATTCATTGCCCTGTAGACTTTTTCCTTTTAATTCCTTTATTTTTACGTCTTTCTTAGTTGCACATAAGACACATTCAGTTTTCTTGCACGCAATTTGGAGCTACTTTCGCATTTCTTAGTTCATTTTCACAATAAAACTGCTACCGCTTGCGGTTAGCTCAGTATGTATCTGACCTTTTCCGGGTTCGCATTGAAAAAGAAACATTTGCCCCCTTCCTTCTGTCGATCTGAGCCCACATGAATGGGGTCTGTCTACTTACAACTTCATTTTGGTTTGAATGTGTCCCTGAGGAGCGAATAGCCGACGGCAAAAAGGCGTCCAACAAACAAGTGAATGCAATTACGCATTTCGGGCATATATGGGGGTGCATGTTGTGTTGGTGGGGGTATGAAGCTACACAAGCTCCACTGCCTTCCAGACTAAAGTTCAAAGCGCACCTAGCTCAGCACACGCTTCCTTATTGCCCGGTGTTTGCTTTTCGTGCTCTTTAATTGTCTTATCGCCGCTTTTATGGCAAGTTCTTGTTTAGCGAGTTATTGCCCCGTGGTATTGTTTGCATTTTCTTTTAATTTAATTCATTCGGGCCGACAAACTGGAAAATATTATTAACTTGAATTATTTAACATAAGTCATGCTTCTATTGTTGTTAACAAATTTTTCAGTATTACGTCGAATATTTTGTGATTGTGTTAGCTTAAGCGGAAAGCGCGTAAAAGAGCATTAAAAAGAACATTAAAAACTTTTTCCTGCGCAAAATTGTGGAAATTGAATTAGATTACCTATTCAAGCCCCCAGCGATGCATGGAGTATTAGTTAGCCACACATACACGAATATGCCCACGCATTCGGTTTCATTTGTACTTACTTTGCATGAAAAATTAACGTTTTTTACTGTTTCCAGCATCTTTTTGTAGTTAATAGATAGTCAATTCGTCAAATTCTATAAATTTATTATAGTTTCTCTGATGAAATCAATTTTAGACCACATCCGCTTTAAATTATTTAAGCCCGAACCAAAAACAAGTCCCGAAATGAGTCACTAAACTCTAAATGAATAAATCTTACTAAATTTTTGAAAATATCAACCCGAGAACACAGATTGAATATACAAAAAAAATTAGTAAATTCAAACTGTAGCTCACAGGCTTAAGCAAGTGAGCACATAAGTAGATTAACCGTAAAATTGATTAAATGTAAAATGTATGTTTTAGTGAACTGTTAACTATTTATTATTATACTGTTTAAAAATAAAAAAAATTAAAAACAATCTTCCCATACCGGGAATCGAACCCGGGCCTTCCGGGTGAGAGCCGGATATCCTAACCACTAGACAATATGGGACTATTAAAATGAAATTCTCATATGCGGCACTTGTATTCTAAGTGAGACATTTAGTTACCATTGCTATCTATACACCACAATGAACGGTATCGTGGTGAACATTCGAAAGCAGATATGTATATGTGCATAGTCGACGGAGTTTACATACAAAACGAGTTGAATTAGGTTTCCACCGCAAAAGCAATTGAGTGTTCGGTTGAAATACTAATAAAATCTGCTTATATGATGAAACATACTATATTTAGATGAGCAATGAAGTGTGTTTCTACGAATAAAAAATTTATTTAAAGACTTTTACAGATGGTGAAACGGATGCTTGTCAAAATTCAACGTAAGATGCTAAAAATAATTATAAAATTTGCTTAAAATGTTTAGATTCAGATTTCTAAACTTTAAAGCGTTTTCCCCACAACTCATACTTTTCAAAGTAGGTATAAGTGCATAACTTCACAACTACTGCACCGATTGTTTTGAAATTTAGCACACTATTTTTGTATACAATTTACGAGGTAACGCTGGATAAAAATTTTCCGCATAAAATCGCGTTTTTTCCTTTAAAGTGTTCGCAAAAAGTGAACAATTTAAATTTCGAAATCCCCCCACCCCAGGGTTATCTGAGCAAAGCGATCATCTAGCGATCTAATTTTGATATTATGATTTCAAATGATCCAACACCGACTACTGACTGTCACCGCCATTTAACTTTTTTCCAGACATTTCAGAATAATTGCTGCCATTGCCGTATTTTTTAATATTTCTCCATTAAAATTTTAGAGAATATTCTTCAAATGTCATACTATAATGTGCCATTCGTTTTAATAAATAGATTTAAATTGTTACGTAAAAAAAATTACAAAAATATGCCTTGTTTCATACGCATTAACCTACTCCCCCCTTTAGTTTGGCATTTTTAAGTATCGTACTAAAGAGTGAAGTTCGTACATTTTAAATTTTACTGTGGTATTTTTTGTAAGAATAGAATTTTGGTAAAATTAAAGAAATATCACAAATTTGGAAAAAAATTTAGCTAGACGCATCTTTTAAGCAAAATAAACCTATGCTGTGCAGGAAAAGCATTGCAACTCGAGTTCTGTTCTGCCGAGAATGTAAAAATTTGTTGGTTAAAGACGGAAATGGCTTTCTGATGGTAAGTCATATTATTGCCATCGGTCCAACGAACAGCGCCAATAATAATTAGTTAAAGTCACCAGTTATAATGATGCGGGCATGTTTCACTTGGTTGCACATTTTTTTCCATACTCTTCTGGCTATCCCTTGCTGGCTAGTTTGTTAATGACTGGAGTGGTACCGAAAACTTAAATCGATACAAAGATTTTGCCACACATTTCCACAAATCATCCAACCAAACTTTCATCATAGAAGTTTTATGGTTTTAAGGCTTTAATTAATTCATTTATATTTCGCCGAAGTTTCAAATGAAATACCACAACTAAAAATATTTAATAATTTCGCAATGGTCATTACAGTTGTGTTATGTGTTAATTCCAAATTAATTATTGAACTAACAACAAAAGCTCTCTGTAAGCATAAATCAGAAACTGACAGTTAAACTAACTTATACATAGATTAGTTAATTGACAAACAAAAACTTCTCTAATTACCCCAAATTACAAACAATTGCTTAGTGAAATTCTAACGCAATTATAAAATATTGTTGAAATACCTCAGTGAACCGATTAATTTTAGCGCATGGATGACAAAATTGCTGTGAAAATTACGGGTGATGAATTAAAAACTGGCCTTAAATATGTTTGTAGGCAAATGTTGGTAAACAGACCATAAATTTGGCAATAAATAAAAACTGGCATGTATTTCCATTGTTCGAGTATAAATTCAACGCCATTATTCAGATAATTCAGTAACATTTCCGACCTCATTAGAGTAACACAAAGCAGCTCGCATCCTTTTTCGGTCACAATGCAAACGTTCTACACTTTAACAATAATGGCGGCTTTAGTCACGCTGGCAGTGGTGAGTTCAAAAATATAAATATATACATATTATTATGAAAATAAGTCAAATAGCTAGTACTATACCATTATTTTCTGTGGCAGTGTCAACTTCCAGCCGATTTTGAGAAATTCAGCAAAGCTTGTCTGGACGAAGCCAAAGTCTCGGAGGATGAGTTGAAGCAATTCATTCAAAATGGCATGAATGTTAACGAAGCCACTGAGAACATAAAGTGTCATACCAAATGTTTGATGCAAAAGCTGGGTATGTGGAAGGATGGCGTCCTTGATGCCGATGCCAAAGCTAAGGAATTAATGCAACTTCCAAAATACAGTGGACATGATGCCGAAATAATACAAATTGTGAATAATTGCAAGAATGAGAAGGGCGCTAATGAATGTGATACGGTCTTTAATATTGCCATGTGTATCAAGAAATCCCTCAGCGCACAGATTGCATAAGGTGCAACGTGTTTTGTTTCTTTTCTCTACGCTGGATTGTTGGACAATAATTTTAATCAACTTGGTTTCAAATATCTGTATATATTTCGATGTTTTAGTTATTTGGTATAAGGGATTAAAAAATATAAACTAATTATTAGGTGCGCAACTAAGTTCTCGCTGTTTGTTTTTTTGATGAAAATGCAATTTTATTATAAGGAAATGGTTGCAAATGAATTATTCGAAGTATTGCCCATCGCTAGTCATAACATTTTTCCATATATCTGGCAAAGCTCGAATACTATTACGGTAAAACTGTGTCTTTCTTGTGATGCCAACCAAGAATCAAGCATTTTATCGATGTCGTTTTATGAGTGGAACTGCTTCTGAGCCAGGCCATGTGACATCGAACGGAACATGTAACAATTAGACGGCGTAATATCTCAGGAATATTTCCAGTGCGGTAGAACTTCCCACTTAGGCGGTTTTTTTTAGAAGTTAAATGCTAAATAAATAATTGCGCAAACAACAATCGTAATAGTTTTGAAATATTTATTTGAAAAACAAAAGCAACAATTACATAAGTTCAGTATGTAAAAAAATGGTATGTAGATAGAACAAACGTAATTACCCTCACTAGCGCGCTACTAAGTGTACAGTGAGTGGGTAGGCAGCGATAATAGCTAGCAGCAACAACAATGCTATATGGAGAGAACTACATACATACAATTTGTAGGCATTGTTTTTTCCACAATATAGTTATACCTACATACATACATACATTTATAAATGCCGAGAAATATCGTAAAATTTATATGTTGTGATTTTCTATGTATGTACATATATGTTTAGCCCTAAATTAGATAGCTAGCATTAATGTATTTTTTTCATCATAATTTATATTATAAAGATTTTGTTGTTTCTGTGTTAATATTTCTTGAAAGGAATTTTCGAATGAATTTTCACTTAATGTACTCACGTGCATTATGCTCATTTTCACCAAATCATTACATAAATACATACCTGTCATAACTTATTGTTGTTGTACTCTGTATGGCATGCATACATGCAGTTTCCATATTCCCCCTTTTTATGCTGCGCAAAGGTTCTGTTTGTATTCTCACATTGTTTGTTGACTAAGTGGAAAATTACTAACAATATTAATGCTGGAAGGAGCTACTTACAACGAAAAAGTTAGAAAATAATACATTCTACAACCTAAACTAAAAAAACGAGAATAATGAAATCAATTACCATTTTCCATATATTGTGTATAAATACACACTACACATACAAATATCTAATCTGAAATCAACTACTTAGTTACTAACTACTTTACAACTAGAATCAACTAGTCACCTAGTTAGTCGACGATATTTTTTTCTTAAAAGAAATCGGTATTTTTTAAGAAATTGATGAAAAAGCAAATATCAGTTGATATGGTTAGAAATAAAACAGTTTCATACTAGTTCCAAACTAGTTTGAAAATGATATATGCATAAATGTTTAACTCAACTAAAAAACAATTTTAATTTAGATTTTGTTAAGCTTCTCTGAATTTTTATTGAAAGAATACTGATATCACAATGTAGCTAAGCTCTCTTTCTGATCCAACTTTCTCAAAATTGGTATATTCCTGATATTTTCGTTGATAAAATTCTGATGATAAAATCGATTTCTTTCTAGTTACAAACCAGTTTTTCTTCTGCCTAGTTTCTTTTTTACTACCAAGTATGTACTCGTATATATGCGACCTATACCTATAAGTACACATTAACATGTAAACAAGTTTGTAGGCTCTCCGCTTATTCCAGGAATAAAGGCATTAGAAAAGTGGATATACAAACACAACAATGTTTTTTGTTGTTTCGTGCACGTGCATTCAGCTCGTTAAAACATTGACCGCAAGCAGTTAACAGCTGGACATAATGACCGACTGCAAGTAGTCAAAATTAGGATTTCGGGTTAAAACATGAAAGTTTTATTGTATCCAAACAAAAAAAATTCAAGGTGTGGAGACAAGAATTCGAGCCAAAGTATCAAACATAGCATATATAGAACATACATAGAATATTATAAGGAAAATTATCAATTAAAATGCAATTTTAATGCAAGAGTGCTAGAAATATTTTTCGTCTTTTGACAGGAGCGGTGTGTCCCAGATTTAAAAAAAAAATACTCTCCATAAACTTAAATCTACATCTTCTCAGGAAGTATTAGCACACTATTTTGAAACGCCGTTCTCATAAATTTAGTTAAAAAATTATCATATTTTTAATTTTGGAACGATCTTTGTAAACGTTCTCCATAAATATTATATGCCACCTATCTAAAGTTCTTTAGTGCGAATTCAAAAGAAAAGTACCATAAATATTGTATAATACTTCAAAAAATAAATTATGCATATTTTTTAAAAAATATTTATATACTTTAAACAGTGTTGAATTAGAGCCTCACAACTCTTCACATTGTCGATATCGAGTTCATAGTAACGCCAGCTGCCACACCTCTACTATGTCTAGCTGGATCCACGGCTTAGGTTGCGGTCATCGATGGCTTGCTTTAATGGCAAATGCGCATGCAACGTCGATAGCAGCACAGATGCATATACATTCTTACATATATGTATGTGTGTATATATGAATAAAATTTTTATTGAAAGTGCTCCAGTTATTGTTTGCTTTTCCTTGGCTGACTTGTGAAAGAGTTGAAGCAGTCAGTGCTGTTTGCTCAGCCATAGAGAATCAGCTCTAAATGCACGTGTAATCATATGAATTGGTCACGTGATTGCTAGAAAATGTACTTATGTTTGCACAGTGTGGAAACCCAGTAAAGCATAAAAATTAGACTTTTGATATATGTTTATATGTAATTATGAAAGTAATTTGACACTTTTTTCCAATACATACCAATTACTTACTTATACACACAGGTATATTTGTAATTTATTTTAAAATTTTCCAACAAATAATTGACTTTCATAGCTTTCAAGTACTTAATCGTACATTTGACTTTAATTATAAAATTTAATTTCGGTTTTAATTTTAATTTAAAATTAAGTTTTCAATTTTAATTTTAAATTTTGAATTTGAATTTGAATGTGAACTTTAATTTGAGTTTTACTCTTAATATTAATTTTAATTTCAGATTTAATATTAATATTAATATTAATTAAAATTTTAAATTTAATTTTAATTTTAATTTCAGTTTTGATTTTAAGTTTAATTTTAATTTTAATATTAATATAAATTTTAATTTCAGTCTTAATTTAATTTTAGTTTTACTTTTGATGTCAATATTAACTTTAATTTTAATTTTAGTTTTAATTTTAATTTTAATTTTAATTTTAATTTTAATTTTAATTTTAATTTT